ATTAATATTAAATTATTTAAATCGTTGGTTAAAATAAAATGTACTAAAAATGAATTAATCATTTTTTATGATGTTATTAATTTATCTTGGTAAATATATTTTTTAGGGAAACTTAGCTCCTAATGCTTTGACGTTCCCATCTGGAATAGAGGCCTTAGCAAAATTATGTCCATAATAAAGGAATAAGGCTTGGAATTTATTCCGATGCAGGGTACGTAATAATATGCTAAATTAAGTTTTACGTATAATTAGAAGGAAACTCATGGATTAATGTTAAAGCTTGGTTGATTAAGAAAATTAATGTTAAAGCTTGTGATATGCTTTTTTAAAGGAATACACGTGTGGAGGATCCATGCCTGGGTCCCTAGGCCATGAAGAAGATGATGCAAGAACGTTTGCTTCGTGGGTATTATCCTTTATCCAGTTCAAAAAATATTAATTTGTTTTGTGTTTTAAGCTTTTATCAAAAGAAGTGGCACATTCCCGATCACACCCAATTACATACCATAAACCCTCATATTAGTCAAATTTTTTGAATTTAAGAATAGCTTTTCTTAATTTGATATTTGATATTTTATAATATAAATTACAAAATATTAAACAATTTAAATATATATAATACATAATTATTATAAAAAATATAAATACATAATTAACTATATCATTTTTTATTTCATTTAATTTCTTTACTCATGCTGTCTTTTCTTCTTTATGTTATGTGATTATTGTGTAGCGAATTGATTACTTTTTTCATTTTTCATTTTTTTTTAGCATATTATAATTTTAAAAAAGAGATTCAAATCATAATCTTAAGGTTAGAAGGTATGCCTTAAAAAAAAACAAAAAAAAAAAACATATAACTGTGAAATATTGAAATTTAGGTGCAGCAAATTGATTACTTGAAGTACGATAATTGTGGGAGTAATGATCTTAGTCCCAAGAAAAGGATTGATATACGATCTTTTTCTGTCATTTATAAAATGAGCAATGCTAGGGGCACTTGCCTCCTGCACTCTCCGGCCGACACTTTTACTTTTATTGGGCCACGTTATTTTGGTCGGTGAGACGTCGCACTTCAATGCTAAAACAAGTTTATGTGGCCCAATGAAAGGGGCAGTGTTGGCCGGAGAGTGCAAGAGGCGAGTGCCCCTAGCACTGCCCTTTATAACATGGAGTGCGGAAATGCTGTGTTGCCAACATACCTAACATTTGTACCCAAAAAAAAAAAAACATACCTAACACTTGGTATCTTCATATAATAGAAAAGAACATTTTTGAAAACTCCTGCATTCCAGGTTTGGATGTTATTGATATTTCTCTTTATTACATCTCAATACGTGACATTTTTAATTTTTTTTTTTATTGACCAATGAGATACCCGTAACATTAGCTTGTAATGTCACATAAGAAGACAGGACAAAATTTATTATGAATCGCATAATGAGAGTACTTATCAAGAATAATTTATCGGTAGTAAATAGTTTTTGAAAAAAAGGGAAAAAATGATATTAATAGTTGTTAGATGCTATATGAGATTAAGAGTTTTTTTTTTTTTTAAATCAGATCAACCATTATAATTAATACTTAATAAAAAATCATTAAAGAATCTGTGTTGCAGTATAATAAGCCCATGTTTTCATCTACCTAATCCTCTTCCCTCTGCCATCAAGAATCTGTGTCCCAAACCCCACCAGTAATCCCCTTTTATCATTTTCCATCTGTTTTTTCTTTTCTTCGTTCAAACCAAGCATCCATTAAAAAATTTTGGTGGAGCTCCCCAACTACAACTACTATTACTAAACTCCATCTCTTTCATATTTACAAATCCCAAACATCAAGCAAAGAATATGCCAATTGCCAACCAAAATGAAATTGATTTCATCTACCGAACTGTGGATTACGTACCTTCGAGATTAAGAGTGCATTTGAGATTGTGATTGTAAGTTTTATTTTGTAATTATATAGTATTTTTAGATATATATGTTTAGTAATTTTTTAGGATTATTTTCTTTTCAAAAACTATAAAAAGTTATAGTAAGTCCATGATAGTTTTATATATAAAGGTAAAAATCTCATTTTAGAGTTTTTATTTGTGCTTTCATAAATAACATATAATATTTAATATTTAATGTAATTATAAAATTATTCATTAAAACCTAATTTCATTTAATTCAATTGAATAATAATTAGTACACTTTTCTGCTCAACATATCTACCAACACACATTGGTTTTAATCATTAAATTTTACAAGTAAAATTTTTTTCACTTTGAATTTAATTTTGAAAATAATAATTTTTTAATGAGTGTGTTATATGAAATATATTGAATTGAAATATGCATTAATATTATCCAATTCAAGTATACCATAATTTATAATATTTTATTTAAATTTAACCTCTCATTTATTTGAAAGTTCTATAAAAATTAAAATTCATTCCGCTACTTCATTATGAAATCCAAAAAAACCACTCATTATATAAAACTTAAAAAACTTAATTATTATGAAGACATCTACCATATAGCATTTACAATTCATTTAAAAAATAAATAACTTAACATTAAAATAACTTTTAATCATAATTATATAACGTAACATAATTCAGTATAACTACGGTCAAAGTATTTCATAACAATTTCAAACATACACTAAACATACTAATCTTCATTAACCATTTATAACTTCTCAATCTAAGTTTATTTTGTCTTTAAAAATTCAGTTGATAGTTGTCTATAGTTTTGAACCGATTACTCCCACAATCTTTCAAATTAATATCATGATACCAATTTCGGAGAACAGGTATCGGAAAATGAGGGATGCCCTATAGAGCAGTGGGAGGTCCATCTTCTTCCCAATATGTGAATGGTGAGGTGACATGAAATTATGCACATATATTGATATATTGACCATAACATAATTTCTTTAGAAAATTTTACAATTAAGTAGGTTTTTTGCCATTCAAATTGCACCCCGATTAAAAAAAAAAAAAAAACCTCATTAAGTGTGGGAAACTCATGTAAAAATAAATATTAATTTTAGAGTCAATGTCACGTAGATAAATTTAATTAAATCATAAATTAAATATTACTTTTTATTTTTTTCAAGTCTTTTAACATATGCATTTAAAGTATATGTTAGAAAAACTCTATACTATAATTTGTGATTATATATATTAGTTTTTTCATTTAAAATTCATTTATGATATTATATGTATTTATTTATTTAATATTATATTATAATTATAAATTTATAATTTTATAACATTGCTGAATTTTTTATCAGACTACACAAAGTATTTCTGTTTCTGATTTAATGCTTGCTTTTAAAAAATTTAGGGGACATGAGGACCTAGCCATATGGGCACCAAATATTGAAAATGGTTGGAGAACTACGGGTGAAATCCGAGATAATTGGGAGAGGTTTTAATATCACAAAAAAAAAAAAAAATCAAATTCCCTCATTCTTACTTATTTTTATTTTTTATATTTTTTCGTCATTTCAACAAGTTTGTTTATTTATTTATTTTTATGTAGCATAACTAACCGTGCTGATAACAACGATCAATGGGCATCTTATGCTGGACCTGGACACTGGAATGGTAATAAATAAAAACTCTCGAATTTTTTTTTCTTCAATTTTCTCCTTCTTAGTACATTTAAACTCAATTGTTTTTTTAATCATAAATTCAATTGTTTTTCAAGAAAGGTTTTTATTTTACAATTTGTTTTTAGATCCTGACAAGCTAGAAGTTGGTAATATAATGGAGGTGTGACAGCTGAAGAGTACTGTTCACATTTTAGTATTTGGGCACTAGCCAAAGTAATCCTTCTCTTCATTATGAGACTCCCAATCTTCTCTTGCTTAGGTTTAAATGATGCAAGGGGCAACCTTTTCTTTTCTCGAATTTTTATTGGTTTTAACATGATGAGATTTTAACTTAAAAAGTGTTGACTTTTAATTAGAACATGTACCTAACTTGAACTTAAAAGGTACTGTTTTTTTTTTTTTAATTTGATTTAATTATCTTCTTTATTAAATAAATAAATAAATAAGTATTTTTTAACCCCAACTTTTCTTTAAAAGTGTAGTTTGACTACTTGAAACTATTAAAATACTCTTAATAAAACATTTTCTTATTATATCTATTCATTAAGAATAACTTAGTAATTTTAGTATTAAAATTGTACTTTTAATGTATAATCTAAATTGAAATACATGAATCTTTTAAATAAATGTAGTCCAAATTAGTTTTCCCTCTTTTTCTTTTAAAATGATATTAAATGCTAAAATTTTAATTCTTATTTGGCGTAAAATAAAATTTTGTGGTTTTTTTTTTTTTTTTTTCAGAAAAGCATAGTTTTATTGAAAAGATCAATTAGATATTCCAACTTAAACTTTGTTCTTGCCTTACAGGTTAAATAGAAGAAAATCAAAATACTAGAAAAGTCTTATAATACTAATATAAAGAGCTAATATTCATAACAAGTACAAATAATCTAAGTAAATCAGTAATAATTTTCTTCCCATGAAAGTAAAAAGTTTTAAATTTGAATCGTTTAATATATAGGTGAGGTAAGTTAAAAGATGTGAGAGAATTATTTTTATTATACAATCTCAAATCCA